TTTACTGAAAAAAGATACTCCATATAAATGGACAACTGGATGTCAGACAGCCTTCTAAAGTTTAAAAGGTGCTTTCATTTTGAGAACTATTTTAACACTATTTAATCCAAAATATCCGTTTTGTATTTGTAGATACAAGGCGTATTTTGGAAACTAAATACCGTTTTGAAAAAAAAAAAAAAAAATAGTAAAAAAAATTTTTCAAATCCAATTTTATTTTTACATGAAAATACATGTCTTAAACTATTTTTCCGCCAATGCTCAAACACTTGTCATAGCGGGTGACCAGTTTTTGTATACCATCATCAAAGAAATTTCCCACCAGTTTCGATAACCACGACTCCACAGCAATTTTCGTATCATCATCAGATCCAAAGCGCTTGCCACCAAGCTCGCGCTTCATGTGCAGAAACAAGTGATAGTCGGACGGCGCCAAGTCCGGGCGGTACGGTGGGTGATCGAACTGCTCCCAATGAAACTGTCGAATTAACGATTGAGTGACACCGGCAGTATGGGGCCGAGCTATCATGCCACATTAATGGTTTCACCTCTGGGAAGAAATTCAATAAGCAAAATGCCTTTTCTATCCCAGAAGACAGTGCACATTATTTTTTGTGATGACATTGTCACTTTGAACTTTTGTTTTTTCGGAGAATGAGTGTCTCCACTCCATCGATTGTTGTTTCGATTCTGTTGTGAAATGACACACCCAAGTTTCATCACCTGTCACAATTTGGTTTAAAAAGTTTTCTCCCTCATCACTGTACCGCGTGAGAAATGTCAGGGCACTACCAAGTCGCTTTGTTTTGTGAACATCAGTGAGCATTTTTGGAACCCATCGGGAACACAGTTTGCGATAATTCAAGCTGTCAGACACAATTTCGAACAAAACAGTACGTGAAATTTGTGGAAATGCCTCTGAAAGAGTTGTCATTGTGAAGCGTCTGTTCTCATGAATTGCTTCATCAACTTTTCTTACCAAATCATCGGTGACAACAGAAGGCCGACCACTCCGAGCCTCGGCATGGACATTTGTTCGACCTGCATTAAACATTCTTACCCACTTTCTCACCATTCCATCACTTATCGCGTATTCACCGTAAACTTCTGTCACTTGATGATAAATTTCGGCCGGTTTAACATTCCTCGCGTTCAAAAATTTAATCACAGCACGAATCTCACAGTCAGGGAGAGAACTAATTGTCTTAAACATTTTGAATGTGCACAGCAAACTGAAAACACAACATAGAGCAACCAAAATGGCGACAATTGAAAGTCAGTGAACAAGAAAGACTAGTGCGCATGCGCGGGACGCCTACCACAGCGCTGCAACAGCGCTAGAATGAAGTGATACTTAGTTTCCGAATACGCTACGTACATCTAAAGAAGCTGTTTGTGAAGTTTTAAAACAACAGCACCGAGATGGTAATTTACACTCTATAGCTTTCCATTCTCAAAAGATCAGATATTATGAAGAAAAAAAAAAATGCGATCATGAAGTGGAATGTTTAGCCATTGTATATGCTATAACTAGATAAATTCTAATACTATTTGCATTGAAATAATTTTACTGTACATGTACTGATCATAGGGCTTTAGTTTGTCTTAAGAATATAAAACTTCTATTCGTAGATTATTTCGATTGCCTTTAAAATTATCTATGTATGATTTTGAAATAAAATATAAGAAAGTTTCCACTAAAGTTGAAGGTGATATGTTAATATGAATTTGTAACATATGAATATCGTCAGCAATGCTCTCTACCGACAATATGAAGAAAGTACTTAGTTCAACGCACGCGAACTGCAGAAGTGAGATGTTATTGTTTGAACTCATGCTCTAAACTTTTAATGTAATTCCATTTTTCTATTTATCATTTTTCTGCATGTTAATGTTAATAAAATGTTATGTAAAATTAACTCCTAATTGATTTTTTTAAGGATATAATACAAATCCTATTTGTCAACACCTGTGTACACGAACTAATTTATTATCATTAAAGGAAATTGAAGATCAAAATTTAAGTAATGTTTGTAATTCTAATTATAAGAAAAATAATGCTTTAAATATAAAGAAACAAAGTTTGTACAAAATTATAATTCCAGTATATCTTCTAATAAGTTACTTGAAAAGCACATATTGTATTTGGCCATACTGGTGTATCTTCAATGCTAAATTTGCTATCTTACCAATATTATTGGGCAGGAATAGTATAAGATATCTAAAATTATTGTAAACATTGTAAAGTATGTGAGTTTAATGAAAAAAATAAACCAAATAAATTTGGTTTAATGCAAGCACCATCACTTATAAGTGAACCTTTTGAATTATTGATACTGTTGGTAGTTTAGATTATTATAATTAATTCTACAAAAAGGTATATTCGCATTATTATAGATCATGGTAAATGTGGACATTTGCTTCTAAAAGTGTAACTACTGATACATAAATTGTTTAAGACAAATTTTTCAGATTCAAGTCGTAAAGAAAATTTTAAGTGATAGAAATGCAGCTTCGTCAAAATTTAAGCATTTTTTGAGAAACTATAATGTTAGTATTATTAACTACTACTAACAGACCAAAAATTAATGGCAAAGTAGAAAGAGTTAAATTAATATAACTAGATTAAAATGCAAATAAATTCTTATTAAGGTAATATTGCATGGGCAAAATTGTTGCCTCAGGTTACTGAAGAATACAATATGCTACATTCTGTAACAAAATGTCCATCTTATTTAATATATAATATATTACCATATGATCCATTAATTAAAAATCAGGATCTATACCTTCCAACTGAAGAAGCTGAAAAAATTGCTGAGAATAGGTGTTATGCTTACCATAATGTAAATAAAAAAAAGATACGCTGTCCAATTAAAATGAGGAATTAGGACTATAGCTAAATTAAAGTTAGTTTTCCTTCATATTTTCTTTCATGCATTTAAGGGGATCTCGCATACTTATGCTATAGAATTTGTTTTGATAGTATATAAAATTTATTCATCATTTTAAAGATTTCAGTAGGCTAAAAAGGATTTTGCTATGAGATCACACTTCTGAGACCATCATCTGCTGGTTTAGATTTGTATTTGATCTTAAAATGATAAGAACAGAAAATGCAATCTTATTTCATTCTTTTACCTGGTACTTTATTATGTGATGGCATCTAGTAAATATCAGGATTTTGTCCTAGTAACCTAAATGCAAAAGTTATTTAGTAGCTATTCCATAGGGAACAATATATGTCTAACATATGGTTTGGGGGATTGCAAATGACATGTAATACTCAAGATAGAATCAAATCAGTTAAATGTTCTAAGAATGTTGTGAAGGTCACACTATAAACATCCTACATTTTTGTTTTCAATTGTAATGTTTCATCACTAGATATTTCATTGATTTTCACCTTTCCTTTCCCTCCCTGTCCTCTTAAGTTAGTCTTCAGGAGGAATTAATTCAAATGAAAATCTGTGAGAATATTTGAGATAGAGTTCGTAATTAGTAATACCACATCTTAGGTAACAGTTTTTTTAACAAACTTTTTTGTTTTCCGTAAATAAATAAATTCAAACAAACACCCTTTAATAAATGCTTGTTATCCTCCAAAAAGGCCTCAGCTTCAAGTTTGTGTCCCAATCAGTCATGTAATTTAATTTTGCATTTCCTAGATGAGAGCAGTATATCTGTAATGAGTATATATAATTTTTAAATAAATTTTTCATGAGAACAGTCTGATTATTTAATAATCTGAACTTTAAATTTCATTAAAAAATTAACTTATTCTTTTCGTTAAAATTATGGAAAGAACTTGTGTTCCCCCAATAATTATTATGCTTTTGAAATGAAATTAACCTATTTTGATATCCACAGTCCTTCTGAATGAAAAACATGATTTCTTAAAATAACACTTATTAAGTACTTGGGAGTCATTAAAAGCATTTCATAATAATGCCAATACACATCATACTTTTCATGTATATTTCAAATAATGTGAAATGAAACAACTGTTAAGTAGAACACACAATTCAAGAGATAAATTTTTATTATATTTCATATATTTTGTTCATAAAACTAAAATCAAATCAAAGTACATCAGTTCAAAGGGGTACTAATACCTATTAAAAATATTCTTTTCATACCATAAAAATCCGGATATCACTTGTTTTGAATCAAATAAACCATCCAGGAAGTAGATTACGTTTCCGTCTGTGTCCGCTAGGGGCGGGGCTAGCGCGGCCATCTTGGGGTCAGAGCGTTGCGCAGCTCAGTCTGCATCTAGCCGTGCTAGTGAGAGGTTCGTGCTGTGCTCCGTTCAGATACTGTGACGGTTTGAAATGTCTGCGTTAATTGAAAATCCCGCGAGCTGCGAGGTGCGCTCAGTAATAAGGTTTCTGACTGCAAAAAACTGTAAACCGATAGAAATCTATCGGCAGCAGCTTCGTGAAGTGTATGGGGACAACATTATCACTGAAGGTGGAGTGCGTCAGTGGGTCATAAGATTTCAAAATGGCCGAACCAATGTTCACGACGAAGATCGAAGTGGGAGACCCAGCATAGTGACCGCCGAACTTCTCGAAAAAGTCGATGCTAAAGTCCGTGAAAATCGAAATTTCACAATAACGGAACTTTCTTTGAGTTTTCCACAAATTTCGCGAAGTTTGTTGCACGAAATCATCAGCGAAAAGCTTGGTTACCACAAGTTTTGTGCAAGATGGAAGGCAAGAAGAGGTAACGAAGTGGTTGAAGGCGCAGGCGGCCGAATTTTTCGACGAAGGAATTTCCAAGCTCGTACATCGCTACGATAAATGCCTTAATTTGTATGGTGACTATGTAGAAAAGTAGTATTTGAGTGTGGCTTTCATCTGTATATAATAAAATTTGTTTCCTATACTTTGTTTATTTTTTTATTCCAAAACGTAATCTACTTTCTGGATAGCCCTGACTGATTATAAGAGAAGCTTTTATTTTATGTAAATCACGCTTTACCCTCTAACTTAAGCCACTATAATATACATTAATTAACATGTCTTTTGATATGTAACTTTTTTAACAAAAAAAAAAAAATCAACTATCATTAATATACAACACAGCAACATATATACTTTATTAACTATTGTTTTAAGTAGAAATGTTGCTTCACAGGGGAAAAAAAATATGTATATATATATTTAAATTTTGTGGTTTGAAAATTAAAATCTTGTCTATAATAAAATTTTAAGAGATTTAAAAAAATCATCTGGAAATTATAAAGGAATACAATGATATATACCATAAACTTAATTTTACATGAAAATAATTTGATTATCACAAAATATAATTTTTTAAAAAATAAAATAAATGTCCATGAACATCTAAATTACATCCTTTTTCAATACTTCATATGCAACATATAATCAATACAAGTACTGACATTTAACAATAATTGTTACAAACTATATCACAGAACTCATTCATTAGGATTCACAAACATACTTCCATTTCGCTTATTTTGCACAATAGGAGAACCATGAAAGAAAATATAACAAATGCATCTTGTTGATTTCCATTATATAAGACTACATTTATATGAAGATCTGGAAGAGACAAATCTCCTTAGCATAAAATGCAGACTTGGCCAATTTTGTCCTTGTGCTGCCTTTGAAACAGGGCTTTGTCACATTGCACATTTGGCAGGTTTAACTTTTTTTTTAATTAATGAAGAGCTGTAAAGCATGTTAAAGATAATTAACATTAACTATAAATTGTAAATTCATAATATATTTTCATAAGTATAACTTATATGAAATAATGAAAAATTTTGAACTGTAGAGAAAGTTATGTTTAATATACAGTAACTGCCACTTATTAAACTCCCTGGTTAATAAAATTAGATTCTTCAGTGTAAGAATATCCTATTGATACCTATCAAAGTGTCTGTAGTTCATCCATTTTATTTACTGAAGGCACCTGCTTATTTATCATTCAATTATGAAGTTCTTCAAGCAGCTTTAAATGAAATTACAGCCCAGTGTGTTGTAAATCTACCAACACCACTTTCTATCAAGGGGTCTTGGTTCTATCATTCCTGGGTTCCTAGCAAACACTGTTTGTAAAGATCTTTAAGATTTAAAAGCAGTTCCTCTAGATGCATTATAAACAGGTGAGAATTTCTCAGGGTTAAAAAAGAGATGGTGCTTAAATCAGCCTTGGTGTACCTTTCGAATGCCAGTTGATAAGGTCTGGAAGTGCAACCTCGGCATTCCACAATCCTGTTATGATACACACACATAAAGTGCACAAGAAGTTGTTAGAAAACTTAAGGAAATACTTTCTTGCATCATCATACATTATCAGTCTTTGAATGGAAAAAGGAGTGGTGTCTGAAGGACAAAGAAGTAAAGAAAGTATAAGCTATGGCTGAAAGCATGAAATTAGAATTTGACTTAATACACAAAGTATAATCTTTTTTCTAGCTAAAAACGTGAATTTTGAACAAATCAATGGAGAAGTACTTTTTAATTTGGTTTGTGCATATTTGTAACATGTCAAAAAAGCTTAAGTAGAAAGATTTAAGCCTAAAGAGAGAAAAAGTTAAATAAAGGGAAAAGATTATTCAAAGATTATGATGCTCTTGGAAAATGGAACCAAAGAAAAACATTTAAACTGGGAATTTCCTAAATAGAATTCTGTAATTTACTTTAAAAACTGTGATTGATGAATAAATACATAAAAAGTCATAAGGAAGCATATATCAGATAGAAAATTCGGAAATGTTGAAACTGCTTTTGTAGAGCGGTAAAGCTCAGAGTTAGTAAATATTCATATTAACACTCTTTTTATTACAAAAGCTGTGGAATTTCCTAAAGTGCAAGAAAAGAATATTGTACCAGTTGGTAGATGGTTCATAAAAAAATTCATAGTAAAAAATGAAAAACAGAACATCGTGTGGCTGATAACAGGATAAAATATGGATGCTAAAGGAGTATAAACCACATGACATTTATAGTACAAATTATACACTATACAGAGAATATATTAATGAAAAATTATCTCCTAGGTAACATGAAGTGAAATTTAGATAGCAAATGTGTATTATTGTGGAAATTAATTAAACTGGAAGAGGTAATCAAAATCTTTAATTAAAGAAATAAAATAAGACAATCGTTGATTCCATAGAAAGTTTCCGACTCATTAAGAGGAACTGGAATCTCTCCTTATAACCACCACCAATTCACAAGGATTGTGTTTTGTCATTCGGCATTTTGAGCAAAATTCCTATTCCAATTTTAAAATTTCTAATCAATTTTATAAAATCTGAATTTAAATCTTAATAAAAAAGAAGTTCAGAAATGGGAAATAACTCTCTGACATAAAGATGCAAAATTAATTACAATTAAATTCAAAAATAGTAAAAATAATAGTATTCATACAGAACAATGCTTTAAAAAAGGAATAAATTAAAAATTGATGAAAAAATTAAGATGCAAATGAAATAAAAGAAATATACAAATAAGTCTAATAAAGGGCTTTCATACATGTTAATAGGCCAATATTTATTGTAAATTTTACTTACATTTTATCTTAATCAAAGGTGATTTCAAAATGGCACTATCAGAGTTGTTATTAGCAGTTATTAGCTTATATTAACAGTTATTTACTGTTATGTTACTAACTGCTTCTGTATTGGTATGATACTGAGAAAAGAGATTGCCATTGACATAAATTTTCTTACAGTGTGGCAGCTCAGCAAAATAAAATGACAGAATGTCATAGTAAAAACTTTTGGTTTGGTAAGAACCGTAAAAAATGAAAAAACTTTTCATTAATATATTCTCTATTAAATTAAATTTTATTCTGTGCAGCAAAAGTGCAGGATTTTACTTCCAAGTCCTTTTTAAATAAATTTAGAAATTTTAAAATTTTTTCTCATTGTATTTCTTTACTAATTATACTATATATAAACACACTACAAAATAAAAAGTCAGGAATAAAAGAAATTCATGTAGGTTAATTTTTAGAAAATTTCAGTTTAAGTTGTAGAGATAAAAAATAAAAGAAATAATTGCAAATAATAGGAAAGGGAGAATTATATGCATTTAAAAGAATTAAAAAATGTTTTGAGTCATGTACTGGTGCATGGTGGTACAATACAAAGTCTGTAATCCGGACTCGTCAGGACTTCCGGGATTCCGGATTAGGGGTTTTTCCGAATTATAGATCATCAATTTAAAATCTGGTAAGATGGCTTGCAGAAATTATACAATTAAAAATATGAAACTGTAATTTATGAAATAAAGAGCAATTATGATCTAAAGGGTATCAAATTTTACAAAAAAAAAAGCTTAATATTTATTTGCTTACTTTATTAAACATTTCTTTCAATGCGCTCATGCGTAAAGCATACATTACGCATATTCAAAATTAGAAAATTGCAACCAGAAAACTATTTGATGTGTATTCGTGATATTTATAATGACGAGGAAATTGGTTTAAATCATATCAAGACGAATTACATCGAGATGAAATACTACATTTAGTAAGGAATTATAAGCTAAAAAAAAATAAAAACATCTGCCCTGAAGATGAGGATAGTGCTGACAGATCAACTTCCAGTTCATTGCGTGCCTCGACGTTTCCCCTCCCGCGCAGAGCAGCGTGAAATTGATAAACAGATTTCGGAATGGTTAGAGAAACATATCATTATGCCAAGCTGTTCTGATTACGCAAGTAATACGTGCTAAGTAGAAAAAAATGCAGTTTATTTAGACTATGTGTGGACTTAAACGACACTTAAAACCTGGTGAATCCCTTTCCGAATATTTAATTGCCGTGACTGAAATAGCCAGTCCCGGTTGTGTTGATGATTAATCAATTCTTGATTATGTAATCAATGGGATACCGAATCAGAATAGTAACAAAGTTAATTTGTATGGGTGTAAAACTATTTCTGAATTCAAAGAGAAATTAAAAATTTATGAGAAAATCCGTGTTCCAGATATGAAGAATAAGGGTTATTCAAGTACTAACACACAAAATAAAGCACGCGCTACTACCTAATAAGAGTACAGAACCAACCGTGGAAGTATAGGGCGCGTAATGTATGCGTAGTCTTTACGCGCACGCGTAAAGTATACCAAAAAAACATTTGTGGCTTTGAGGTCTGGATTATAGATCATTCCGGATAATGGACATCTAGATTACGGACTTTGTACTGTATCATGTAACAGTTAATCATATGCCAGTGCATGAAGTATTTAACACATTGTTTCTACATTATTCTTTTGTGAAGGTTCAATACCTACCCTGGCAGAAAATGTATTAAACCATCCCTCACTTAAATTTCAACCAGGCTTCACAAAACAATATCAGTACATCACCTTAGGAAAATACATACTCTAATACAAAATACACTCATGTCATAAATTAAGGATAATGCAAAATCAGGCAAAGGAGGAGTTAGAAGCAAAACAAATTTGACTTATTTGTAAAGCTTATTTATTAAACAAAAGGTAAAGAGCAAAAAAAAAGATGCTATATGTTTGATATTATTAAACAAATTAGCAATTTTTCTCCCTGGAGCAAATTTAAAAAAAAAAAAAAAAAAAACTATTTACAAAAAAACAATATTACATGGCTGGTGTGATTGTTAATACATTGTATGTCTCCCAGACAATGCAATACAGTCCGTACAACGCCTGAGCATGCTGAGTATCAAATTATCGATCTGATCTTGGGGGATATTACACCACTCAAAAAGCAATGCTCTCCGAAGTTCTGGTAGACATGTAGGAGGAGGTTGATGGGGCTGCAACTTGTTGGCCAAGCATGCCCCACACGTGCTCTACTGGATTCAAGTCTGGTGAGACTGCTGGCCATTCCATACGGGTGATATCCTCCGATTGAAGGCATTTGCTTACAATGTTTGCACAGTGAGGACGGGCGTTGTCATCCATAAACACAAATTGTGCGCCCATGGCGCCACGAAACAAACGTACATGTTGTTCCAGAATGATGTCCCTATAGATTTCGCTTGTCATGGTTCCAATTTGAACATGCAGGTCAGTTCTGGAACCCAGAACAATTCCACCCCAAACGAGCACTCCTGCACCACCGTAACGGTGTCGTTCAATGATGTTTTCTTGGTGGTAACGGGTACCTGGAGCTCTCCATATGAAAGCCCGGCGAGAATCAGACTGCAAGCTAAACTTGGACTCGTCGGAAAACATCGCACAAGCCCACTGTTGCGGTATCCACAATGCATGCTCTCTACTCCAGACTAACCGCAGGCGACAGTGAGTTGCAGTAAGTGGAACGCATCTGACAGGTCTACGAACATATAAACCAATCTGCCCTAAGCGTCTGTACACGGTCTGCCTTGAAATTGTCGTACCAGTAGCTGAAGAGAGCTGACGAGACAGGTCTGAGGCTGTGCTCTGCCTGTTTCTTTTGGCAGTAACTGCCAAATACCTGTCCTCATTCGGCGTTGTAACTGTAACGTCTACTCACACTACCGTCATCTTGGAATCGTTGTCAAAGCCTGGAGATGACACTCTGGGCAATTCCAAGTTCGTGTGATACTTCCAGTTGGGTACGCCCACATTCCAGACGGCCGATAATGCTACCACGTAAAAAATCATCCATATGCATCGTTTGTGTCATAACTATTCAGTTATTGCACTGAAATGCTTATAAAGTGCCTGCGGACAATTTTACTTCTTTGCCTGTATTCCTTATAGATCACTCTCTTACACTCTCGTCATTGTGACGTACCATCGGTGTCATCTGGTTACTTCCTGAAATTTGCATATGATTTTTGAAGATGTGTGTAGTGATTTTACAGGTGATATAGTTACTTTAGAGTTCGATTTCCACATGACTCCGAATTATCCTTAATTTATGGACATGAGTGTATTTTACTCCATGCTGTGCATTTTGCATATGGAATATGTAATTACTAATAAGTAAAGCAAATTTCTAGAGAGATGCACAAATATTAAATAATGAAAATTATTGCAAAAAAAATTGGACTCTTAACAATTTTGATCTCTGTAATTATTATTATAATTTATTTATTCATTCAATCTAGTTGTTTTATGCATGCATTTTTTCCCATGAATTAAATATTAGTTTTTTTTAGTTATAAAAGAATTATCCACCAGAAAAATTGCTTCAATTCATTATTTACTCTTAAATTTAAGCTATGTTTTTTCGTGTATAAATGAAAATGTTATTAATATCACTTAAAATGGAACAAAAGTAATTTTTAACAAAAGGAAATAAACTTGCAAGAAATTAACAGCTCAAAATCAAACACACTAATTTTTATCTTACTACGAAATCTATATAAAACTCAAAATATGAATCAGAAGGTAGTAATAAAGTACCCTTTTTCTTATTCTATAATTATAAATTTATTTATAAATGCTATTTCATTTATAATTATCAGTTGCCAGTAATTACACATTTGATTTTTAGTCCAAAGGGGCTTTGTCCCTGGAGGACTATTGTTTTCGTTTTGTGATTTTGCGTCGAATCATTCTGAATGTCTGTTTCACTTTTCAAATTGTTCCCATCAAATATTATTACCCTGTATTATATTATAAGAAATTAAATAATGAAGAACCTGTGTAAATGTATGTATGTTTCTCGCATTGTGATAAAACAACGGTACCTAGAGCCATCAAATTTTGAATGACGTAATCGCACTGTTTGAAATTTGCTTTATTATCCATTGCATATTTTGTGTAAAACTTTAATGAATTTTTGATTAACAAACTCAAGGATTTCAAAGCGAGCAATGCCGATGTTGTATAGAAAAAACATTTTTATCTCCAGTGTCTGTCCAGTGACTGTGTATCGGAAGTTCTAAAGTTATGTTCAATTTAAAATTATTTTGCAATATTGCTGTTGAACTGAATTTTATGGTTTAAGTGTGAAGAACATGATATTTAATAAATAAAAGTACAGACAAAATATTTAAAAAACACCCCTTTGAACGTAATTTAAAATCTGAAACCTTTCAGATTTTTTTTTCTTTTATTATTATTATTTTCTGGAAATCTTTCCAAAACAGCCATATATACGTACGTAAGTCACTATCATCTGCAACTATATGCAAGGTATAAGATGATACACAGTCTGCCCTGGATGGATGCTATATTTTACAGAGAGTAGTCTTGAATTGTCAAGGCAGAAAGAAAAATTGATGATAACTCACAAATCAAAAAGTAATACAGTCAGTCGTTAATCCAGATTCGTCGGGACTTCGGCGATTCCGGATTATCGATTTTTCCGGATTATAGATCATCAGTTTAAATCTGATAAGATGGCATGCAGAAATTATAAAATTAAAAAATGTGGTATTTAATTTAATTATGGCAAAGCCACGAGAGCTATCTGATAAAGAGGGGCTGCCTTTCATGGAGCCTTCTAAGGGAACGGCTCGTATAACGTTACACATGGAATAAAAAAATATGAACTGTAATTTATGTAATAAAGAACAATTATGATCTAAAGGGTATCAGCCCACCAGCGGCCAAACGGTAAATTCACTGAACACTGGTAGTTCAGTCCGAGGTTCGAATCCCGCGGACAGGCTGGCTGCATGGGCGTTTTTGTGGTTTTCCCCATGTGTAACGTGTATACGAGCCAGTTTCCCTTAGAAAGTCCTCCACGAAGGCATCCCTCCCCTTAGGCAGATAGCCCTCGAGGCTTTGCCATAATCACACACACTAAAGGGTATCAAAATTACAAAAAAAAAAAAACTTAATATTATTGTTTACTTATTAAACATTTCTTTCAAGTAAGTTGTTTAAGTTGCTTCATTTATGTGAAATACTTTCTCTTTAATTCTATAAACAGACACAGTCTGTTTATAGACATGTTCAGTACAAAGTTCCGCTGTTTAGTCCTATAATGCTGTGTCGAGAATACCGACTAATTTGTCATCGAATTTTCGTTTTCAATATCCTCTGTGTCACTTCTTCACTATGGAAGCGAATTTAATGATGAGGATATGATTTAAATATATCAAAGACGGAGCACATTAGATGAAATATACATTAGTAAGGAATTATAAGCCAAATAAATAAAAACATCTGCCCGAGATAGTGCTGACAGATCAACTTCCAATTCATTGCGCACCGCAGTGTCCCCCCCCCCGGCCACAGAGCCACATGAAATTAATAAACAGATTTCGGAATGGTTAGAGAAAGAAAGGATATGCCTTCATCCATTTTTTGCAGCAATTCCACTTTTTGTTTGATGGACATCGAAACATACTTTCGCTTTGTTGATCCTAGCTTACTTTTATAAAATTTCTCTAACAGTCTGCAAAAAATAATATGCCGGATCCAATTCGAAGATTAAGGAACAACGCAATCTGCAACATTAACTGAAATAGATAATTAGATAATTTTAGTTTATACCGTCTGTTATACATTAAACACGCATGTGTAAACGTATTATTTGCATGTGCACACGCATATGCGCAGCTGTCTTACGCGCATGCGCAGAAAGTTTGTAGCTTTGAGGTCTGGATTATAAATCATTCCGGATTATGGGTGCCCAGTAACAACTTTTGACTGTAATAGTCTTATGAAAATGAATTGAGAACAAAAATTCATTTTCATAAGACTATATAAGACTGCAGAGAATATTTGAAGAATTTATAATGAGATTTCATCAGCCTTATAGTCATTCTATGCCTTCATCAGACTATTTGAATGAAAAATACAAATATCAACTAAATTATGATCACAATGACATTAATGAAGAATTCCAAAATTGTATTTCTTTTATTACTAAGGAAATAAAAACTGAAACAGGGAAATTAGTCCTTTTGAATTTTTGTAATTCTGTTCTCCTTCCAAAACACAGTTCTGAATATTATAATACTATGTAGTTTCCTCAGAAGTGCAGATGTTATGAGTTATGAGAGGAATTTTTTAAATCAAATCAATTAAAAAATATCTAAGACCTACAAATCAGTAACTTGCTTTTAAGAAATCTATTAGCCTGTCTACTAAACAGCAGCTGAAGAAATGAAATAGACTTCTACCATATCATTCACTACTTCGGGGATAAAAATAGCATTTTAGGATGTTAAATCAAAATTAGACTTTAAACACAGTATTTTATTTGTTAGCCCCCACACATAATTTCATTACTAGTATAAGATATTTTGTAGCTTGCATTCAGAAAGATGCCACAGACTTTGTGCGGCCCAAGAGTAAAAAATCTGGGAACTCCATTTTAAAGAATATAAGGGATTTCAGAAATGCATTCAAACATTATGTCATTAATATTTTGTAAATAAATATTTACCTTTGGGAACAGAAAGCTCAGACCAATGTGGTTTTTTTGCCTTTCTCCTGTTTATTAAACCAGTCCAAAATATCATCATGGAAAGCATCAGAAGTTATATTTTTCCCCTGACTTGCTTGTTCTTGGTGTGATTTGCCTTCTACACTATAATAAATACAAAATTAATATAACTGGTCTGAATTTTTTTAAAAAAAACTTTCAGATAAAATTTTATCAGAAATCAAATTAAATTACAATTTTAGTGTATACATTTCATTGCAATCCACTTATGATTCTTTGCATAGAATATCTCCTTCTCTATATGAAAAGACAAATAACACCTATAACATATTGGCTAACAGATTATTTGGTAGGGTTATCCATTGCATCAGCCCTTTACAAATTTCAGTTTTTTAAGTTAACTAGAATTTTTAAGAACTTATTTATGAAGAGAACATTCCTTATTCATAAAAATTATTTTAAGTAAAATATTTTTTAAAACGTCTTGTATGAAGTATAATGCTGGCACTAGTATAATATTTTTCTTTTGAAAATCTTTATTATATGCATAACATACTATTTAAAAATTTATTAAGATAGTTCAGTAGACATCCATTAATCTGCTTTGTCCAGGGCTAGGTTATTTAAACATATAGCCTCCAATATATACTTGCACATACAATTTTGCACACACAATTTCTTGCAGAGGCAGTAGGTTTAAGTGTCCAAATTTAAAGAGCCATTTCATAAATAACTACTTGTTTGTTGTTAATGATTACTTTGCTTGCAGTTAAAAAATAGCAACAGAAAACTATATTAGAAACATTTTTGTCTTAAAATTAGCTTCAAAATGAAAAATTCAAATGAAGCACTACACTAATGCAGATACTGGCTATTTACTAGTCTTCCAAAGCTGAGAATGTTTGATGCCATTCCTATGTATGAGCAATTGCCAAGCCATGAACCTCTCAGAAAAAAAACCTGATCTCAAACTTGATACTTAGTATTTGTTGAGAATACAGATTTACACATGAGACACATGATTTTATCATTATATAGCTTTTCTAAAAAATGTAACTGGAATTTGACACAAGCTTAAATCTGGTTGGAAAGCTAGCTGAATGGGACTTTTTTGTGGCTTTACCCATGTGTTACATATTTCTCCATAAAGGCATCCTTACTGTTAGGGAAATAGCCCTTTTGTGCTTTGCCATAATCAGTTAAATAACAATAAAGATTAAAATTTCTTTTTGTAAGCCAGATTTCAAAAATTCACATAATCTGCATAAGGTTTCAAAATAGAATGGTTCTAGAGTAATACATTTAGTTCGTGAGCAATACAATAATACACTGTTACCAAATTCTTTTCAGACATTACTGGTAACCAAAATAGTTGATGTAGTCCTGAACATAAATCCTCATTATACCTAGCTCTTATTGTAGCAATAATTATTCAGTAATTATCTATGTGGATTATTTAGTATTCAAACAGTGTAATTATTCTAATATATATATGATAATTAAACTGCTCCAACTCATTCTGCAATTTCATATATTAAAATACCCGAATATAATACCATATCAAATTTTAGAACAAAAATATTTTCCAGTAAATACCATAATCCAAAATTCTGAAATTCTTTTAACTATATATGATTGTATTATTAAATGATTATATTATTCTTTATATGGTTCTGTTACATGATTATGTTGTACTAATCTAAAATATAACTGGTTATCTAAAACTGAAAGTAAAATTTTAATTCATGTCCCTTAATAAAAATTCTATTTTCAGTTTTAAAAAAACAGTTATATTTTAGATTAGCACAGCATAATCATGTAACAGAATCATATCAACAGAAAATTTTAAATGGAAAGGAAAAACATGGATTCAATAAAAATGTATATAAGAAATTACAGTAGATATCTCTTCATTAACATATACTATGCCGCACTAATAACATGTGCAGATAGATTCAATGATATGTTTATTAATCTTGATAAGAATTGATAGTCTTCATTAATACTGACTATTGTTTACTACTCAACACTGAAACTGTAAAATTAAGATGCTTTGTTAAATTTGAAATCCCAGGTTTGATAAATGTTCAAAAACTGGAGGAAATAAAAATCAGATTATCTCAATTTATGCAGTTTGGCTCAATTTATGCAGTTATCACCAAGTACATACACTTGCACGCCTTGGTATGCTATCAATGAAATCATTAATCATCATATAAGAGGCCCACTAGCAGCCCAGCGATAAAGTCACTAAACACTAGCACTATTAGACCTGGGTTCGATTCCATGTGAACAACAAGCTGGCTGTATGGGAGTTTTCATGGTTTTCCTCATGAGTAACATGTATATGAGCCATTTTCCCTTAGAAAGTCCTGCACAAAAGTATCCCTAATGTTAGACAGTGTGTGCCCCTTGTGTACTTTGCTGTAATTAAATGAACCGAACCAAACCAAACATTATGTGAGGAATGTTTTTCCACACTGCACAGTGTGTGCCCCTTGTGTACTTTGCTGTAATTAAATGAACCAAACCAAACATTATGTGAGGAATGTTTTTCCACACTGCAAAGCACCTGGGCACATAAAGGTCTTAGATTAGCACTAGCTTTTCCTTTGCAATAGCCAGTCAGTTATTCCTGGTGTACTTGATGCGATCATAATGACCTGTTGTGATCATAAACCAACATCTCTCAATTCAAGGATTCTGTCCCTTTCTACATATGATAGGTGATTGATAAGTAACACAATAAGAAACTCGAAGCATGGTATGATACTATCAAACCACGAGACTTGATCGAATTTTTAAAGTCTCATGAAAGAAAAAACTTTCACTTATGTTGCTGGTTAGAGCTAGATACCTAAATTTTTTTTGTCATTTGCATGTTTTTGTTATAGCTGCATTTCCCCTAATATGCATAAATCTTATGGCTTTTCTTTCTTGATGTTAAAATTTCAATGTTGGGCAATGTATACGCATTTTCCATGGCACTGCATTCCTTTATATAAATCATTAAACTCTGAAACTTCACTGTTTGATATAAAACATAAATAGGCAACTGTAAATGCAGTAATCCTATGATCTGAGCTTATAACCCAGAAAACATTTTCAGTAAAGAAAACACAATGATAAATCCTAATAATAATAGTAAAATTTTATTATAATCAATTCAGTCTTTCTGTTAGCATTAAAAAGCTTTTTATTGCATTCCAGTTTCAAGAGTCAATTTTACTTTGTTATGCGATCTTTTCTAATGCATATGTACGTAGCCTATTCGGAAACTAAGTACCGTTTCATTCTAGTGCTGTGGTAGGCATCCCGCGCATGCGCACTAGTCTTTCTTGTTCACTGACTTTCAATTGTCGCCATTTTGGTTGCTCTGTGTTGTGTTTTCAGTTTGCTGTGCACATTCAAAATGTTTAAGACAATTAGTTCTCTCGCTGACTGTGAGATTCGTGCCGTGATTAAATTTTTTAACGTGAGGAATGTTAAACCGGCTGAAATTTATCATCAAGTGACAGAAGTTTACGGTGAATACGCGATAAGTGATGGAATGGTGAGAAAGTGGGTAAGAATGTTAATGCAGGTCGAACAATGTCCATGCGAGGCTCGAGTGGTCGGCCTTCTGTTGTCACCGATTGATTTGGTAAGGAAAGTTGATGAAGCAATTATGAGAACAGATGCTTCACAATGACAACTCTTTCAGAGGCATTTCCACAAATTTCACGTACTGTTCTGTTCGAAATTGTGTCCGACCGCTTGAATTATGCAAACTGTGTTCCGATGGGTTCCAAAAATGCTCATGATGTTCACAAAACAAAGCGACTTGGTAGTGCCCTGACATTCTCACGTAGTACAGTGATGAGGGGAGAAAACTTTTTAAACCAAATTGTGAGGTGATGAAACTTGTGTGTATTATTTCACACCAGAATCGAAACAACAATCGATGAAGTGGAGACACACTCATTCTCCAAAAAAACAAAAGTTCAAAGTGACAATGTCATCACAAAAAATAATGTGCACTGTCTTCTGGGATAGGAAAGGCGTTTTTCTTACTGAATTTCTTCCAAGAGGTGAAACCATTAATGCGGCGCGATATTGTGAGACTTTAACAAAACTAAGGCGTGCCATTCAAAACAAAAGAAGAGGAATGCTCAGTAAAGGAATTGTGTTGCTCCATGACAATGCTTGGCCCCATACTGCTGGTGTCACTCAATCCTTAATTCGACAGTTTCATTAGGAGCAGTTCGATCATCCGCCGTACAGCCTGGACTTGGCACCGTCTGACTATCACTTGTTCCTGCACATGAAGCGTGAGCTTGGTGGCAAGCGCTTTGTATTTGACGATGACACGAAAAATGCTGTGGAGTCCTGGTTATCGAAACTGGCGGGAAGTTTCTTTGACGATGGTATACAAAAACTGGTCACCCGCTATGACAAGTGTTTGATCATTGGCGGAAACTATGTTGAAAAATAGTTTAAGACATGTATTTTCATGTAAAAATAAAATTGGATTTGAAAAAAAATTTTTTTTTTTTTTTTTTTTCAAAACGTTACTTAGTTTCCGAATACAAACTCACGAAGACAAAAAGAAAACACTTACTCTGTTTTCTCGGAAGGCAGTTTTTCATCATCTTCAAATGAAGTTTGCTGACTGCTGCCAGGTACACTACAAGCAGGTGATGCAGTCCTAGATCGTTCTAAAACTGGTGACATTACAGATGGAGCATTAAGAAGCTGTGCATTAGATTGATTAGCTTTCCATGCTGATAATTTGGCATGTAGATTCTGACTAGCAGCTTGATGCTGTTTACGGTGCTTTGTGCTGTATTTGTAAAAATCTGATGTTTCGTATGGTTTTGTCTCTTCCCAATATGGTTGAAAATGCCCATATGACACAACATCAACATTAGAACTAGGAAAATTAGGACCGACATGAGATTTCAAGTTTCCCATCGAACTTGATGTTTGAACAGTCTGTGGTGATCTGGAGGGCCAGCTCCGTTCTGTTGCACTTGATGGAGAAGAAAGTCCTGAATCATATGGACTCAAACTAGGTGTTCTGTTTTTCATGTCTGAAGAAAATTCTGTCCAGTGCTTTGTTTGCTGCTTTAGAGAAGGGGATGTTGGTGACAAGTGATACTGGTGTTTGTAACGAGTCTCTGAATGTCTATTCTGACCTAAATACATAGCCTCAGCAGCATACAGTTTCAGATTTTTTTGATATAAATTGGCATCTTGTTGAAACTGTATATCACTAGACTGGCTGGAATAACCAGAGAATCCATCCTGGGATTCCATTGTTGGAGATTTTCCCTCATGATGACGATGATGATGAAAATGATGAGGATGATGAAATGAATATGCCGATAAATGAGATTGTAGGTGACTATGCTGATGTTCTTGATATGGAATTGTTCCAGTACCTTGGTCAGTATATGATATTAAGTTATCGTACATGGAGTGTGGTTGAGCAGAATTGGGTCGTATTATATCCCCAAATGTGCTGCTGTTATCTATGTATCTGCGATATTTCTGAAAGCTATGTCTACGATTCCTATCCAGGCTATTATGCCGCGACATCAAGCCCAAGTCCTGAGGAGCAAGAGTAAAAGATGCTAAAATATCATCTTGCGTGTCAAAAGCTTGGCTTGTGCGCTGAGTAGGAACACTGTACAAATTTGATCCTTCAATATCTAGAGTAGATTCAAATCTAGAATATAAAACAAATTAGTTTCAGTATTTAATTAGATTTGAAAGTAAAATAATTTTAAATAATACACAAAGCAATGCCTAGCTATAACAATATACTATTTGTATATGTTAGATGCAGTTTTTACACATCGTCGACAGTACCTATTTCAAAAATAACTATTAACAGTGTAATTGTAAAATGATTTTGTAGCTAAATTCTACCACATTTATTCATATGTTTTTACACTAATTTTACAGCTTAAAAACTGAAAAGAAAATTTATGTTATCTATCCAATTTCTGGCATGAGAAAGGAGGAAGAACTTAACATACTGAAGAAAGCACATGAATAATACTGGATTGTATGCATATTGAAAAGAACTCATTACAGATTTTACTATGAATATCTTATAAATTTCTAATCTGTATTTTGTTCTCTCTTATCCATTCAAGCATTATTAATTGCTATCTTAAAATAAAAGTTTCTAAATTATATTTTGAATTAGCTAACAGGAAAAACATGTAAAGGGTTTAAATGTGGTAAACAGTGTAATAACAAATTTTGAAGATTTCATAAAAAATTTATTCATTGAAATAAATGCAATACATAACCTGCTAACTAAAAATAATATAGGAAAGAACATGTATAAACAATCTAAATCAAAAAGAAAGGAATGTAGGAAAAATGTGTAATTGTAGGAAAAATTACATATTATAATTAAATTACGTATAACCCTGTATATGAACACTGTGATAATGAAATCTTGGTTTCATGCAACCCTTAGAAAAAGTCTTACATTATTATTATTATATTATTATTTTATTTTGTATCATGACATTTAAAATATATTAACTTTTAGTGTTTTCTTTCATATTTTTTCATCTTGCATGCCATGCACTACGATTATTAAAATTAGGCAAAAATTAACTGACATTAATTTCAATCAAAACTATTCTATGCATTTTAAGAGAAAATCTGGTTTCAAGAGCAGATATTCTTCTCATATGGTAACAAGAAAATCTATCTTAAAAAAAAAAAAAAAAAAAAGTGAGGGGCAATTATGAATCAAAGAGGCATTTCACACATTTTTGGTAACAGTTGAAATCTGCATATTACAGATTAGGCAATCCGGTTTGGCAATTTTGGAGACTGATCATAATGGTCATATTCATAATTAAAAACCAAGTAAGGATTTTAGTTAAAATGCAGGAAAATGCCCTTAAAGGCATGGTATCAGTTTGACTAAATATATGAAACACTCCAAAGGTTATCAGTTAAAAATAGAAGAAACTTTGAAATAATCAAATGGATTTTACACTGAAAAACCTAGACTAATATCTTTACAAATTCACATGAAGATTGAAAGAACTTACTTATTTCGATAAGGTGCAGAAAGTGGAGGAACTACATTGTGCTTGTCATATGCAATAATTCCACCAAGTTCTGAACTAGAAGCTGAAGAATAAGATGATGGAGAACGCATGGAAAATGTAGGATATTGTTGGCTTCGATATGAAGTTTGTGTCTGATACACAGAACTTGGAGTGTAGCCTTGTAATGATAAACCCGTTCTCAGACTGTTCTGTTTTTCAATCATATTGTTTTCTTGCATGGATGCTAGATGACGAGAATTAGATGGACTAGATGGAACAGAGTTAGAATTTGCAGCTCTTGTAACACTTCGTAAAGGAACAGGAGATGAAGATGATGATGTCTGAAAAAGAATTCTGTGATTAACAAGAAAATAATACCATTACTTTATTACTAGATTATTACTACAGCATTAATTTCATAAAAAGTATATACAGGGTATAAAGGTTAAAAAGATTTCTTATTTCCTTTCTAAATTATATATAGCAAAATCGTTTAAGTTTTAAGTAAACTCTTGCAACTATGAATATATTAATAAGTAGTGACAAAGAACTGAGGCAGACTATTTCAAATGAAAAATGCTGTTGCATTAATTTAATCATTCATGTAATATTCATTACTTGAATTAATCATTTGTGTAATATTCATTATTTGAATTAATCATTCGTGTAATATTCATTTCAGACAACTTTTTTTAAATCATTCTTTGAAATTTTACCACAAAATAATAATTTGTTACATTTTTAAATTCCTGCCCATTGTTGAAGTTTTTGCCAAGAAGAGAGTGTTGCATTGAGTGAAACAGATAATGACTTAAAAGGGGTAATATCTGAACTCTTAGACAAATAAGCAAACATTTTCCATTATTAAACTTTTGTCAAGTACCATTTAGCATTATCCTGTTGAAGAATCAAATCAAATTAATGCATGTTACTTGAGTATTAAAAACCTGTTTCAAATTATCTAACTGATAGAAATAGATGTCTGCATTAATAGTTTGATTATTTTTCAGTATTTAAAAATAAATCGCATCTTCTATAACCCATTATACATACAGCAAAACCTTATTTAGATGCACTCTTGACTTTTCTACAAGACTTCTGTTTAAAACTTAGCCTCTTATCTTTTTCAGGTAACATTAGTATGAAGAATCCATTTTGTGTCAATTCAAGATATGCCTTACTCCACTCCATTTCCTGTTAATAGAGAAATGCAAATCGATATTCACTTCTGATGGTTTTCAACTGCGAGTTCAGCTGGAATCCAATTACTAGCATAAAACATTTTAATTCATTTCAAGAAATCTGTTGCATAGTGGAAACTATCCACTGTTTCATTACTAATGATGCATAGATTTGTCTCTTTTAGCATCTTCAGATTTCCATCTTCCACTTCCTTATGTTACCCACATCTAGGCTTGTTCTTATGTTGAAAATTTCCACAGAATTTCTTAAACCATCCTAAGTATTGATATTCACTGGTAGCATCTAAATCTACATAAAGAAATCTTATTAATGGTTTAAAAACAAAAACTACAAAAACTGCAAGATGTAAAGAATATGCAGCTTATCATTACGGCATTTCTTTTATTAATGAAATATTAATATAAGAGAATTTTCCCTATAGTATCAAAGTTATGATAATCTGCAAAAATTTTCACAACTAATTCACTTTAATATGCTTCTCTCTGCTTCAGTTTTTGTGAACCCAAATCCTGCATTAATTTTCCTATTAACCTACTAAATAAATATACATATACATTTTAGACATTCATCCAAATTCTATCTACAAATATTCAAATGTTTCTTTTTTTAGTCCAAAGGGGCAATTTGCTCTAAAGGACTATTATTTTCGTTTTGGCATTTAGCTTTGGTTCACTATAAATGCCAATTCACTTTTTAAATTGTTGCCACAAATATTATTGCCCTGTATTATATTTAAAGAGATTAAATAATGAAAAATATGCATAAATGCATGTATATTTTCTCGCATTGTGATAAAATAACAGTACCCTAGAGCCATCCAGTTTTGAAGAACGTACGTTTCCACCTGAATATGGACATAGGGAAGCCCAAATTTTGAATTTGTTTTATTATTGATTTCATATTTTGTAAAACTTTAATGAATTTTTGTTTAGAAATTGTTTTGTTTAGAATGAACTAATGTTTAGAATGAAGCCAAAGATTTAAAAGCGAGCAATGGCAACACTCTAAGGGGGTTACCTTTTTATCTCCAGCGCGCGGAATTGTGTATCAGAAATTCTAAAGATATGCTGATTTTAAAATTAATTTGCGATATTGCTGTTGAACTGAATTTTATAGTTAAAGTGTGAAGAACACGATATTTAATAAATAAAGATAACACACAAAATGTTACAAAAACGCCCCTTTGGACGTAATTTAAAATAAATAAATCTGAAAGGTTTCAGATTTATTTATTTTTTAAGCACAGTGTACATTAAATTCCAGGTACACGATATCATTATATTCATGACTCGTCTTAAGCTTTTTTTGGTCAGATTAAGATTTTTAAAGGCTCTAAGCATTTAAAACATTTTTACACATCCATAGTTACATTACGTATATAAATGTTTTTCTGTAATCTCTAAATCATGAACAATTTTTCAGCATGCTCTAACATCTTTAATCTTTGTTTGGTAATAAATTTCCCTCCTTTCGCAACATAGCCGATTTAATACTGTTTGTTTTTTGCAGTCATAGACACCACTGTATTCGGCATACAGTACACTATAGCCATATCTCAAATACATGTGCAATCTTCACCCTTTTCAACTATCTTTTTCACCTCAATGATGATCGTAACAACTTTTTCCATTGCTTGACTCTAGTAATTAGCTTCTCCAAAACACATTGTTAATAAATTTAATGCAAAGAAGCACTAAGTCACTTGAAAATTCAGAGTTATAGTGTAGGTTGTTTACTGAGTAGCAACAGGCATACTGATGCTCATGGACCATCTTAGTGTTGTCTCAAAAGAGGTAAACAATGTGATGTGTGTGCTGTCATGACTCATTGAACTGGAATCATATTCCAAACAAATATTGCATACAAAACAAAAATCTCTGCATCCAAACAGAATAGATATAAGTTAGATACATTCCAAAGCAGACATATGCTGAAGTATCATTGTATAGTTAATTGGCAAAAAAGTAATGAAATATGCTATTTCATGAGATTATAAAATTCCTAAAAGTGACTATTAAATATTTTACAATATTATATGCTTTGTATTTAATAAACATTATAACAATTTACTTATTAAATATTAAGCACAATATTGAATTTTTACAGTGTCCTATACATAATATTTAATAAACATATCTATAGCAAATCTATAGCAAATGTAACTTAATTATTACCATCTTATTTAAGGTATTTTTGGCATCTTCTTTCTCACTTTCTGTAGGTGAAAATGTTATTGTGAGGCCTTTTGTGCACGAACTAGATGTTTGCACTGCACTTTCTATAAAAGATAAAAAAGTTTTACATAATAAAAATTGTAAAATCAATTTAATTTTCAACCTTATATATATTGCTTCATAAATATAAAGCAAAGAGGAAATCAAATATGCTTCAAAAACAGAGAAATGCCAGAAGTATCTATTATAATAGAAATAATGAGAATTTTAATATGCATAAATGTTATAATATTATAAGACTTTGTAATGGCATTCTGTAAACAAACTGAGCCATGCATTATGATGATTGAAGTCATCTGCTGAGGCAAATATTGTTTGATGCTGAGAACTACAAATTCCTTGGCTGTGCCATTAAAGGTGACATCGATGATTTAAATATTGCACCAAGTAACTGACATTACTGTTAATCTTGTAAGTTCAATTTAGTAAATCACTAAAGTGAGCTTAAATAATTAAATCAAAAATGCAGTCCTGCATTAGCATTTTGATACACTACTCTCCAGTATTAGTACAACTTTTCTGCGAACTTAAAGGAAGTGACAGGCTTATATTAAACCTGTTGCAATCAGACAACATTATTGAGATAACTAGAAGTCATAGACAGTATCTTTTGTTCCCTGTTGATATCTGGTGATATGTGTGACCAGAAATAAGACAGATGATCAAAGAAAGGATAAAGAATGCCTGTCAGCATTGAAAGATTCATAAACACACTAAAACACCTTTAGGTGCAGGTTTACCATAATATTCTCAAACCGGGACAATTTTGAGAAAATACTCACAACAGAAAATTAAACCTACTAGGATAAGGTTAGGTTAGGTAAAGTTAATTGATAAAGGTGAAGCAACTCAAGGGCTATCTGCCTGTGCCAAGGTAAGTTTTCGTGGAGAATGTTTTAAGGAAAATCGGCTCATATTATCCATGTTACACACCGAGAAAAATCACAAAAATTTCCACTTTGTTTTTAACAGCATTGAAAAATCCAAACCAGTTTAGTTCATTGTATTTTGAAGTTTAAGTAAAGCCTCAACTCCAAAATACAGTGAAAAAAATTGTAGTTGATTCAGCCATTTCACTTTTTTCTTCTGACGATACAATATTCATTATTAAGAATACTAGTGCCAATGTGCATGGCATACTGAAAACATATTCTGCTACTTAAACAAGATAGGGCAATGAAATGTTTTTTTTTTTTTTTTTTTTTTTTTTTTATGACTGAAAAGTTGTATCCATTTTTCTTTACAACTTTTATTTTTCCATACTTTATAATTATCAGACCAAGAAGTTTTTGCAATCACCACTTCATCAAAAAGTTGATATATGTTTACTGTATTATTTGCAACAGTTTCATTAATTTTCTCGCCTGAAGTTTAAATTTCAGACCATGTTAATTCACTGCTGTTTATCCAAATAAATCCCCCAAAAGTAGTTTTTTATAGTTCAATGTAAGAAAGACATCTGACATAACATACTATAAACATTTGTAGAATTATATAGATATTTATAGTTCCATTATTTTCAATTTATTCTAAAAGTTCACCCGCTTCTTAAGGCATAAATTTACTATCATGCCTTTCCTCAAGGTTTATAATTTCCCAGGTTCACTGACAATATCAGTTGCACTCACTTTTATATTTTATGCAATCAAGATATCTTTGTTAAATCATTTCAGCTGACCTGCTACAATTTAATTGTCAAATAAGTTTTACTCCAGGTTGCACTATTCGTACTCCTTGTACATTCAGCACTTTAAAAATTTTATCAAATGACTAGAACCCAAAATGCCAAATTTCTTAGGATGCAGAGATAACATCATCAAACTGGGGAGTCCCAGTCACAGCAAGATGTCAGGTAAGCCTATTTAGGCACATTTCTATTGCCTGATGTTAGATTTCCCTACATCCATATAGACCTTATTGAATTTTAATTCTATTTAAAGGCAAAATTGTTGACAGATGACTGATAGCTTTAGAAGGGGGTTGAAATCAAATATCATTGCTAATATGAATATTATATTAGACCATCTATTAAAGTATAAAATATCAAGTTTTGTTTACGAACTCAATATGTCATTTTGCCTAATTTTCACTCATCACCACAGATCAGTGATGCCAGTTTTAATCTTCACTATTCTGTGAATTAACTAATAGAAAAAAACTGCATTTAAACCAGTCACTTATCATCCATTTTATTTGGTAAATTTCTTTCACAAACACTTAAAACGTTTGTTTGAAATTTAAAAAAATAAATGGACTGCGGTTTTGCATCATTCTCCTTGGCTATTAAACCAAGCTGCATTAAAGCTGCTATTAAACCAGATTTACAAGCCTTCTATGGTAAACTGGGACATGGAACAACATTATGCCTTGCTGCTGACATCTTCAAAACTGAAACAGCATTCCAAACACTAATACAATTTATTGCATACCTGCAACAGTATATAAATAAAATCAAGATGCCTTCTACATTTTCATATGGAAATCACAAAGCTGTTTACCAAACCAAAAGACTACACCATTTTTTTTAAAAGATAATAATTTACCATTGACATAAACTTTCATGAACTTATGTCTCTTTAGATAAGAGTTATGTCCACACTCAGTAACAGTTCTACTAACAGAACATGATTAATTCTGCATCATTAGAATCTAACCAATGTAAACTAAGTTAAAAATCGCAAAATCTGGTATACATACTCAGTTTACTAAAATATTGAGTACTGAATTAAGTACATACATTACTTAATTACAATATAATTGCTTTAAATTACTTTGATACAATCTTATTGCTTTAACCACTTTCAAGAGAAATATATCACTTGTTTAAATAGTAGCTTAATTTGTATATAATCTTTAGTTTAAGTAAACTTACTATATTGTAATTTCCATGCCTAGTATATCATATAAGATCACATTTTGTTCTTAAATTTCAAAAATTTATATGTAGTATTCCAATATTTGTTAAACTGATAAATCTTAATTTTCTTAATCTCTTACAGCTGATACCATTTCATGTATTTCTGAATTTAACAGAGATTTCCCAAACAGTTCAACGTATACTAGAATTTTTTGGTGTTATATGCCATGTATTACTAGCAATTTATATATTAATGCAGTGCCATCTTACGAGTCAGACTCTGTGGGTACTATCTGGTGTTTCTAGAGTAAATGGGCTCATATTTTTACAAAATTGTTATTGCTAACAGAAGTGGTGTAGGTAAGAGCTCTAGAATTCTACAAGAGCTCAGGAATGATTTAAGATGGTCTGCTATAATGTTAAAATATTACTGCAAGTATCCCTTTTGAGTGATAGTACCGAATTATAACATTGTTTTAACGCTCAACATTTGTTACATAATTTTTACATAATTAGATTTTGAAAAAAGCAACTTTTCAAGTGAAATATAAAAGAATAGAAAAACAGAATAGATATGAAAGGATTTCAGCCATTTCAAAGATATTTGTACATATTTTCTCATATATATATAACTGTTATATAGCTGCCTTTAATGACATTCATATAACTGCTGGTAGCGTTCAGATAAATGCAATGTACTGGATCAGTAGCTTTTATGCATAGTTTCCTTGTAATTTGTTACACTAAGACTTAATTTTAATTTGCTATATTTTCAAATAAAATTATACATTTTTAAATATCTGGAAAAGTTTTTTTTTTTTTTTTAATCACTCTTTATAAAATTTTAAATTTCCCTGAAATAAATCTAAGGATCTGTAAAAGACGTTTATTACAATATACATTAATATTCTATTTACCTGAATCAGAATGTGACATGCTCTCCTTCCTTATAGCATTCACTTGCTTCTTGAAGTGAAATAATTTTTGCTCAATTTCCTTTAACTAAATACAATAATATGTTACAAGTCATTATATCTCAAATATGTAAAATTTAACACATTAGAAAAAAGACGAAATATATCAAACCTTGGAAACAGCTTTTTGATGAGAAAGTTTCCTTTGCCGACGAATATTCTTCTTCACTGAACCATCATTTAGAAGCTTCAAAGCTGCATTTACAATTTTAGTTTGAATTTCATATTCAAGTTCTAAGCGAGCCAGCTCTTCTTCCTATAAAAGCAATCAGCACTTGTATAAGATGTTCAAAAAGTAAAAGTTCTCATAGTAACTATATTTTTTATTATAATCACACTCATGTACGTATTTACATGTTTCTAAGAGCATTTCCATTTACAAATCCACCTGATCTCTACAGAGTACTTGCCTTAAGAAATCACACATTGTTTGAGAATCCTACTCGTCGTAGCAGTGCTGGAACTCTGAAAATGTAATTCCTTTCAGCTGGTCAAAACCCATTTTGTTATCAGTGGTTCTATAATGGTATACATTCAAATGGGCTTTTAGTCTATGGAATAGGAAAAAGTCACAGGGACTTGAAATCAAGTGAAGATAGAGGCTAAGGAACAACAGGAATGCCTTTTAGAGCCAAAAACATCATTCAGGAAAACATTATGTGACAGGGTTATTATGATGACAGAGCATTTGTTAAAATTTAATGTTGTGCAATTTAAATTTAGCTTTTTTGCTATTAATCCCACAGTCAGTCGATAGTTTGACCACATTATGTCCCTGATATTGATATTTTCATCAGTTCTTTTTTACTGAAAGCCTTTGAAGTGCAAGGATCACCTTCAATTGACTGTGAGCATTCTGAAAATGTTTTAAACCACCCAAATACTAATGTTCTTGACAAAAGCAGTCTCCATTGGCCTGTTGAATTTTTTAAAAATTAGAGTCACATTGATTGTGCCCCCTATGCTGAAACCAAATATGATGAAAATGAAATAACATTTTAATAATGCACAAAGAAAACCTGATTCATGAAATATAGAATAATGTAATACATATGTGAGTTCTGCAAAAGTCACTGTTTGAACTGAAACTATATGAGAAGTTGATTTTTAGTGACTTCTAAAGGGCAATTGCTCTCATCTTTTGTGTAGGGCACTGCCTAACTCATCTCATTACTTTATTTACAGATGTTGGAAGTAAAAACTTGTCATTGTCATTTAGATTATTCTTTAAATGAATCTACACTTATAGATTATATTTTCCTTGTTGATAATGCATAACCCACAAATTATGAAAAATATTATGCTATCAGTATGGCTTTTCCTTTTTAATAAACAAAATAACTTTCTTTAAAAACTTGGTATTTATTGCATTGATATTCATTTTTGACAAAATAATTCTTGCAAGAATTCAAAATAGGTAAATATAACTTCTACATACATCATCTTGAATATAAAACCTTTCCTTCCCTAAATACAGGTTTAAAGCTAGACCTTATAAGAATTTAAAATGCATCAACATAATATATATATATATATATATCTGTTAAGGTGAAACACTGAAATCTGGAGAATGTCGACTTTCACCGGTGAATGTCAACATTCACATAGTCGCTTGGTGTATGTTCGAAATATTTTCCAAATACACTTATTTCCAACTTACACCAGTAAATGTCTACATTCATGTACTAATGGTGAAATGTTGAACATATAAGAATATTATATTTTCTTCTCCGTAATTCAGTCGCGAAAAAACGCACAAGACTTAAGTAAGAACACAAGACATAGTACATTCAAAATGAGAAAGGAAAAATAATAGAAGTTAAAAACTTATTAAATTATGTGATTCAAATCTTATTTATTGCAACAACTTAAACTATTATGACATTTTGAATTGCACAAGAGGCCCCTGCTTTTACAACTGCATTTATTTGTGGAACACTTCCTCTTGCAATGACAGCATGTACATATACTCCTCTCTTTTTGACCTACACCAGAGCATATCTGTGATTGTCAACATTCACCGGTGAGGGTACGAAAGTACAAGAATGTAATGCAATATTCGATCTTTCACCAGCTTATTTGGTGAATGTAGACATTCTCCAATTTCGATCTTTCACGGTACATGAAATTATTATTATTATATATATATATATATTAGTGTGCACATAATTCCCCCCCCCCCAAATACAAGGCAAACAAAATAAAATACTGACAAAAATTAACTGGAAGGAATAAGCTTGAGAAAGCCCTTATATACAGACATATAGATCTTGAGTCCAAGATATACCACTTGAGTATATTTATCTACAGTTGAGCATATAATAACTGGAAAGTCGAACAGAAATTAGTCTATGTTTACATTTTGTGTAAAAGGCAATCAAATTCCAGCTACCATGTTGAATGCCATAGCATTTAAATATGGGTGATAAGGAAGCAATTGCAAAAGTGCAGCTAGATTTGGGAAGATATAAGGCAGTACTTTACAAATAATTTACAAGAACTTTTATCACTAATAAAAGTATTTAACAAAAATTATGTATCAGTACTTGTAAAGAATTCATCTGATAAAGCAAGGTGGTGTGATACTTTTCTGTTTCTTTTTGTTTTCGACCTACAATCTGAATAACTTTTCCCATAATGTAAAATAGATATTCTTCTAATTGTTTTATAGTTTGAATCTTTTTAAATAATCAAAGAATGCATCATACTCTAGGGCATATTATCAGTACTATTATTCTCAAGGTTAAACAGTTCCTCATATGGAAAATTTCCAATAGTATATGATTTCTGTAGCATTATATTTCTGTAGCTATGATGATTATGCAGACTCACTACATAAGAAACCATTTGATTTTATTTCAATCTGTAGCTTATTTTTCTGTATTATATTCAACAATAAATCATGATTCTAATATTGTGATCTATCAAATGAAATGTGCAATAACCTGTTATGAACTGTAGATTTGCACTCAGGGGAGAAAATACACTCAATTTGCATTCAATGCTTTAAGAAAGTGTATTTCAAATTACCAATAATATTTTAAATCTAAGACAATGACACCAATTTTTGATTTCATTACATCCACAGGAATAAAATATAAATATCACAGTATTATCTGGGAAATATTTTGGAATTACTTCATTTATAGTCAGTCGTTTTAAAAATGAAATAAGTGCAGCCCATGCTGGGACTCCAAATATCTCTTAAAAGTAAATTCTGTAAAATTCATTATTTAACATCTGCTTATTTTATTTATAGAGCTGCACAGTTTCTAATCCTTGGTATGTGTAATTAAAAAAATATATCAATCAAATCATTGTTAATAAGCAGTTCCTATATGTTTGCATCATTTGAAATGAAAAATGCATATATGCAAAGCTAGTCACTTTTTTTTTTTTTTTTTTTTTCTTAATTTTTTGAAAAGAAAAAAATCTAAAAATTAAAGGAACATGCCTTTTTTAGATTCACTTGAAAGCTGTTATCACTGTCTTTTTGCTTATCAAAATAGTCACTATCTAAAGAATCAAAAGCACCTTCAAAATTGAAAATTTTTAAATTTAGAATGTATTCACAATTTAAGAAGTTCTGTTTTAATAAAATCAAATAGCACTTGAAATTTACATCTTTGCTCCTCTTCTTGAACAGAGATTTATCCTTGATAGGAAAAGCAGGCCCCACTTTCTTTTTTATGATAGGTATTTGTTCCCCAGGACTCAGTGGCATCTCTGGTGGAAGTGCTCCAGTTAGTTCCTATTTAACAAAGTAAAATAACATCATAAAGATGGAAATAATTGTAAAACAAGAAATAAAATACGTATTGCTATTCCTTTTGCAGATGCATGAAATAATACATTATTTGTATTTAATAAATATTAAATTTCTATTTAAGAAAATAAAAATCATTTAAATACTACTAAAGAGTAGTATGTATTTAAATGCTTTTTATTTTAGTATACATTTAAATACTATTAAAAGGGAAATACAGCATTAAAAATGCAGTTGTGGTTATATGTACAGCAAAATTTTCATTTAAAAAAAAAAGAGAGACGTAAGTCATAAAATAGAATTAAACTTAGAATTTGGATCCAACTCATTAAAAGCTTTACAAACAGTCATATGTTATTCATATACCTGCTTTGAATATCAAAACTCTGAAAATAATATTCTTCAAAACAGACAATATGCAGCAAGTTAAGATAAAGTGTGATGTTCATTTGGTGTATAACTTATTTATATTCTATATAACTAGTAGGTTTATAGTCATAAAATAATTAATTGTAATAACCTTTTTTTTTTTTTTTTTTTTTTTTTTTTTTTTCCAGACTACAAAATATCTTCAAAATATATTTGTTTTTAATTTCATTAATTTTGAATATTTCTGATGTACTAATTACAAATTGAAAATTAAGCAGAAAACATCTAGGCTGTCAGGCTAGATGTTTTCTGCTTAATCATTGATGACTTACTTCAAGTTTCACATAAATCTCTTAATGAACTGGTAGCACACTGAAAACTCTGTTCACATTTGCGTTAAACATATTAGAAAAGCATTTTTTTTTATCATTTTCATTATAAATGACTGCAAACACACACCTGCATAAAAATAACATACAATTTAATAAAAATGTTCCGAAAATTATAATTTAAACCTACAGTTTGTAAACAGGAAAAATTCTAATATTAAAGAAGAAATTTATGACTGTAATCTAAAACACTTTTTTTTTTCCTTTATAAATCTATATAAAAGTGACTGAGCAAACAAAAAATAATTTGCTTTTATACTTTCAAAGAAATGCATCTATTTTAATTTTCTTAAATAACAAACAATCATAAAAATTATGAGCTGTTATCAACTCTCAGAAATTTTAGGAGACACGAAGCTTTTATTATTTATAAATCACAGAATTTATTTTTTCACTATTGTAACATTTAAATAGAATGAATTCAGAATAGTACCATTGGAGCCTTATTCATACAAAACAAATGTGTATTTAAATGATTTACTTTCTCTCTCACACACACATAAGGGAGAAAGAAAGAAATATTTACTCCTTCTCTGAGACACAACTTCTTTAGTTCTTCAGATCTTTTATGAAGTGCTTCTTCCAAAGCTTCTCTTCGTGCTTTCAGTGCAACAAACATCTCAACTGTATCAAGTGTTTCATCACAAGAATCACCTTCAAGAAAAATTAATTTTAAGTGTTCATAAACAAAATTAATTATTTTTGAGACTTTTTTCTACAATTTTATTTAAAGATATACCTGATTTTAACTCCTGCAAATGCATCAAACAAAATAAAATATTAATTTGATGTATATAATATGCTTGCTTATTCATAGAAAACAAAAAACATTACAAATACAAGGGCAATTCAGAAGCTAACCTTTATTGTGGCATGCCACTAATAGCAATGGGCTGAGTGCAAGCAATCTGTGATTCCATAAGCTTCATGCTATCCTAGTGACAGCATCATACTGTGATGATTATAACGCCACAAAATGTGCACTGCTATTGAAATTCCTGTCAAATGCAAGGTAAGAGGAGTAATATAATTTCTTTGGGCAACAACACTGTCAGCGGCAGACATTCATCCATGAATTGTGTGTCGTACAGGATTCAAACATTCTGAGTGAAGGTGTATAAGTGCATCAGTTGGTGAGGTTTTTCAAAGAAGGAATAACTAGTAGGCTTATAGTCATAAAATTAATTGTGATAACCTTTTTTTTTTTTTTTTTTTTTCCAGACTACAAAATTTCTTCAAAATATATATGTTTTTAATTTCATTAATTTTGAATATTTCTGATGTACTAATTACAAATTGAAAATTAAGCAGCATCTAGCCTGACAGCCTAGATGTTTTCTGCTTAATCATCGATGACTTCAAGTTTCACATAAATCTCTTAATGAACTGGTAGCACACTGAAAACTCTGTTCACATTTGTGTTAAACATATTTTAAGGAATAATAAATATTCATAATGAATAAAGGAGTGGGAGGCCATCTGTAGTGAGTGATGATCTCATCAAACAAATTGTTGACAAAATCCATAAGATCCATCGATCCACAATCTCAGAACTTTCACAATAATTTCTGAACATTTTTCAGTGTGTTTTGCATGAGGCAGTTATAAAAAAATTAGGCTATCAGAAGTTCTCACAGAAATTCATAAAACCAAACAAATGGATGCTGCCCTAGCCTTTCTTTTTCCTAATACTACTTGGAAGGACAAGAGTTTTTTTTTTTTTTTTTTTTTTTAACAGAACAGTGAGACTTGGGTTATGCATGTGAATGCTGACACAAAACAATAGTCAATGGCATGGGGCCATACCGGTTCTCCAACCCAGCTGAGAAAAGCCCTTTGAACTTTGTCAGCAAAGAAGGTAATGGTCACAGTGTTTTGGGATGCTAATGGAATCTTGCTTGTTGAATTCATGAAACATGGTATGACAATCAATTCTGCAGTCCCCTCTACAGCCTAGACTTTGCTTCTTCTGATTATCTGATTATCATCTGTTGCCTGCAATAAAGAAGGGGCTTCGGGTCTAGCACTTCGCTGATTATGAGGAACTTCAAACCACTATACAAAAGTTAGTTGAAATAGCAGGTGGTTGAGTTTTTTTTTATGCAGAAGGGTTTCATAAGTTAGTAAAATGCTATGACACGTGATTGAATGTACACGATGACTATGTTGAAAAATAGAGGACAGCTGTACCTTAGATGCAAATAAAAAATTTGTTTAAAATAAGCCTGCTTTTTACTTACAGTGAAAGAGGTTAGTTTTGAAATTACCCTCATATTATTATCTGACATAGCCCATCTAAAACTCCACATATTGCTGAAATTACTCTCTCTATATTAGTAAGTAATAATTTTCTTCATTGAAAATAAATAATGGACACAAAATAAAAACAAGCACCACTTCTGAGTTCTTAACAAAAGGATATTACTGTCATCTACAGGATATTTATAGAGTAAATATCACTGACCCAATGACAAGAGTAGCGTGTGTAGATGGGTGAAGAAGTTTAAAGGAAAGGAAATCAACTATATAAACCTTGCAGCAGGAGGCCATTAATTACAACTATAGACACGAATGAACCTTCAGCTTTTAGTCAAATTAGCTCAGGTGGATAATCCATGAGCTTTATTTACAGTGGCATTCAAAAGATTTAGTTATTGTACAGTGTATACAAAGTCAATATTTTGACAGTTGATACCTGAATTGAGGTTCAGGGATTATGCAAAAGCTTTATATGTTATGCAAACTCTCTTGAGTAACATCTTTGTATACAAGAGCACTCCAACAGCAATCAGAGTTTTGACAGGCTATGTCAGTTAATAAAAAAAATTAAGTTAGCTATTAACTTTCTTATTAATTGACACTTTTTATTTATATCATTCTCAATACAATCTCCATACATGAAAGTAACTTGTGTGGTAAAAAAAGGGGGCAAAATAGTCCATACTTGAGTTTTCCCGAAAAGAATTTGATAGTAGGGGTTTTTAGTGACAGTAATTAAAGGCTTTGCTTGTTATGCAGACTGTTGAGCAGCACCTTCAAATGACAGAGTGAGTGAGTTAATAAAAAAAATTCAGCTATTAACTTTTTTATTAATTGACCTTTAATTTTTCATTTACTTTCCGTAAAACCCTTGTAGCAGCACTCTCTACATATATTATCTTTGTTGTCATGAAGTTTAGTTTCTCTAGAATGGCAACAAGTATATATAACAATAAAAAGTTTGCTGCTTGATGTTTGTAACTCTAAATGCATTTCTTTATTATTGTGAATTAAAATATGTGTAATCCAATCTGGAATTATCATTTAATGTATTAAATTATCCCATGTATTGACTATGCTTAATGTCAACGACATCCTTATGTTGGCTCATTTAACGTATTCATACATATGTTCACATAAAGATATACAAAATAAAAATTTTATGCATAACAATTACCTGTAAAGGAACTATGTTTAATTTAAGAAGAGTAAAATTCTGACATTTAGATGTAGTTCTTGTAGAGACTTGGTTACTGTAGAGTATACACAAAATGCATACACTTTAACCTAACCAAGTCTTAAAGTTCAGCAAAGTGCTTAAAATTTACATGGATATTTTCTTGCACATTTTTCAAGTTTAAACATATTTTAATACTTCTTCAGAATGAAATGTGATTAAAATATGATACAAATATCAACAGAATAATGCATGGCTCTGCCCAAAAAATTTTCTGTTTTGATATAAAACAAACTCAGCTTAAATTTAAAAGATAAATACTCACTGTCAATTTTGAGAGCAGGAAGACTTAGAGAACTGACACTTCTACCAAGAGATGATGTTTCAGTCGAATAGGAACCATGGGAAAGCTCATCAGCAATATCGCTGAAGTTACGTGATAAAGATAAAGCACTCTACAGAAAGTAAAAACAGAGGATCAGATGTATAGTTTTAAAATCATTTAGCAAATTAATGGAACATCATTCTTAAACTTCTCTTTAATGACGATATTTTGCAAAAGTTGCAGCACATTCTATCCTATTATAGATAGTTCTAAGTTTTTTTGACAAAACTATTTCAGATTCTGATTTCTTATGAATGAGATAAAATCTCTATATTAATTAGCATTATATACTGTATACCTTTATTACATTTTCTACTATACCCAAATTTCCAGGTCCAATAATGTTCCTTTAGGTACAACTTATAAATTAACATTTTTAGATAGCATTTTAGAGTTTAGAAAATTAATTTATATTCCTCAAAACACAATCATCAAAAATTGTAAACAAAATATATATCAGTTCCTCTCTTCCTCTGACTTTCCCCTCTCTTCTGATATGTGATTTTTTACATTAAAAATGTAATTTTTTAATTAGCTTTTTGCTCCAAGGTAATAAATAACTGCATATTTTATTTAGAAATTTATTTACTGTTCAAGTTCTTTGAGAAGAAAATAAATACCTTTATGATGATTATCACTGAAATTAAGCGATAATTAAAAGTTAACAATCATTAAAAAAGCTCTTCATATTTTACCTTATTGTGTTTTCTATCCAAATAAAATTGGTGTTGTGCTATTGCCATAGACCATATGCACTTTGTAAGTGAAGGATTGCTAGAAAACCAAACATAGACACTAATATTCCCAGGACCAAATGTCTTTCTTGAAGCAACTACCCTGAGGTAGGGAAAAATATCATTCATTTCATTCTTTAATAGTATAATGCTTTATAATTTTCAAAAATATTTTTAAACAACAGATAACTACTTTATTCATTAATTACCTCTTAGGATCACAAACTTCTATAGAAAATTTTCTGTCTCGAAAGTAGAGGTTTTCTAATTGCTTCCAGAGAAACAACTACAATAAAAATATACACAATACATTTTCAAAGATGCAATTTTTAGACTAATTCTAAATTCTTAATAAATTAAAAATTTTTGCATCATAATTTCCTAGACTAAAACAGTCCTGTTAAGAAAGTACAATTTTGAAACAATCTGATGTTATGCAAGCACATAATCCTTTAAACATAAATGCAGTGTGCAAAACAGTTGTGTGTTTCATTCATTCTCATGTAATTCTAATATACAAAAAAAGCTGAAGACTGACTGCCATCAATTATCATTAACACATTCCAGAAAAATAAGCTAAATACTGAAGGTGTCCCATAAATATTGCGACAAACTTCTGACAGAGGTACGGCACATCATAAGGATTAAGAATTGCATAGGAAACCCATGCCCAGAAACATCACTATACATTGCCAGGTGCTGCTGTACAGAAGAGTGCTAGTGGAAAGTGAGGATTGATTCATTCGTGTGGTAGGCACCATACGAAGAGCATGGAACGCTATACGAACAGAGAGAGCTTGCAGGTACGTACTTAGTGTATGGAACAGCTGAGAGTAATCGAGAACGCTTCTCCGACAGACATCAACCACACCACAATTTGTTTGCATGCCTGCATCAAAATGTGCGAGACTACGGGTCATTAAGAAGTAGCATGACAAGTGAGGGCAGGTCACAATCCACTCAATTGGTCATTAGGGAAGAAAGTGTGTTGGATATGATGGAGCATAATCTAAGGATCAACATACCTGCCATTGTTTCTCAATTAAGAACGTTTCATACCAATGTCCAGCATGGTTTTGAAAGCAGAGTCCTTCCACAGATTTCATCTCTAAAGGGTTCAGTTACTGCATCCTGATGACCATCCTGAAAGTATGCATTTCGCACAGTGATTCTGCAAGAAAGTGTTCGTGAAGTTAATTTCCCTGCTTATGTGTTGTTCACGGATGAGGACATATTCAATAGGGATGGCATATTCAATTACCACAATCAGCATTTGTGAGCTCAAGAAAAACCCACAGTGTGCGGCACAATGCATCATAACAACGCTTCAAAATTAATGTGGGGGCAGGTTTGGTCGGCAACTGCTTAGCCGGGCCATACCTTTTACCATCCAGGTTGAATGCCACAACTTATCTTTCCGGGGCAGGTTTTTCCCAGCTTGCCTGACGATCCACCAAATGCGATGCACAACACGTGATTCCAACATGATGGACCGCCTGCTCATTTTGGACTAGATGTTCGTAGCCATATGAGCAGATCATTCCTGCATTGACGGATTGGGCATGGTGGACCAGTTCCCTGGCTCCCATTCTTACCAGACTTATCGAGCCTTGATTTCTTTTTGTGAGGAGCCATCAAAAGTGTCATGTATCACGATCCTGTTGTGTCTGAACGGATCTCATGGCAACACTCACCTGCGCAGTTCCTACAATCAAAGAACTCCCCCCCCCCGGTGTGTTTGAACATGTCCGAAAATCAATGGTCCATCGATATCAGGCATGTTTGGCGTCTGATGGTGCAAACTTCGAGAATCTAGTGTGGCATTCAAAATATCATATGCCATCTGTATTCATGTCCAATAAATGTTTCAAACTAATCACACTCTTGCTTCCTTTCCCATCTTCTATCTCTGCTACCACTTATGCCTGACATTTCCGTGCATGGGTTTCTATGCAATTCTTAAACCTTATGATGTGCCCTACCTCCCCCAGAAGTTTGTCACAACATTTACAGGACAACCTGTACATAAGAAAATACTAGCTTCAAAATAAGCACATTAATGAAGCATTAAAAATTTCTAAAATTACTCTTAAATAAATTTTATTTCAGAAATTAAGGAAGTATAAATAAAATAGTGAGTATTTTTTCATAAAAATTAAAGTTTAACAAACGATTCAAATAGATCTAAAATAACTAAAATATTTAAACATTCACTAATAAATGTGGTTAAACATTTAGATATAATATTTTCTAATGATAGGATACATCAAACTATATAAAACTGCTTTCTGAAAACTGTAAAAATAGAATCTAATAGAGTATGTAGTGAGAAATTCAGCTGAATTTTGGTTCTATTTCAGAATTTTATCGATGCTTGCATTTCTAATACCCAAATTTCTAGGTCCAGTAATTTTCTCCTTTAGGTACATAATAGTTTGGAATAGTTACCATTTGTCCAGTGATGTTCCTTTAGATATATTACTGGACAAATGGAAACTATTCCATTGCTTTATTAAAATAATCATGGATTATTAGCTGGTTGCTTTCCAATAATTTGAAATGCTTGTTCACATTGAGCAAAAGATAACTACTGATTGCAAACATAATATGGTAAATTAGTTTTTCTTTCAAACACATTTTTCTCCCTGTAAAACTGAATCTCGCAACTATTTTCTAATTAAACCAAATAATGACAGAACAGGCGACAAAATGAAATATTTTCCCTGGACTTTGTTAGAATAAGATAAGTAGTAAAAAAACAACAGGAACCTTTCTGGGTACTTTTCTGTCTGTATGGTCATACTGACATATTCCTTTGTAGCTGATACCTAACCACCAAGGAATACCTGCCTTATCCTAGAATAGAATAGACACTTTTAGAGCTGCATATCTAGGATATATAAATTTATATTATACATAAGTCTTTTTAATGAAAAACATTTACAAAAGTTAAATAAAAATTCTCCTTTGGATATTCAGTTTTCATAACAAATAAATAAATAATAAAATAATAATAGTAAAAAAATAAATAAAATTAAAAATTAAAAATTAAAATTCTCTCATAAAAAATCCAATATTGGTATACATGCATTTTACTAAAATTATGGTACTGAATATCATAACACAAAACACAGCAAGAGCAATGAGAATAATTTATTATGCAAATGTTAATGGAAATTAAATGGTTAAGTAAATACTGATAATAATTTGAAGAATTTTTAATCATTAATGAAGAAAAAAGTTCCAAGTGATAAATGTTTCTTAAAGTAAAATAGATATTTAGGGAGAAAATATTCCAATAAAATAGACTTTATTTCTTCAACATTTATGTTTTAAAAAATTAATAAGAAGTTAAGAAAAAATATGTAAAAATCAGAATGGCATTTTAAACTTTATAACACAGTTCAAGCAGAAAAAACACAACAAATATAACTCTCAACAAAGAACCAAAGAATGAAATGAGGACCAAAGAATGTATGTACACAAAGTATGACTGAAAAATATCCAGCAGATACATAAAGATAAATAAAAGGGACCAAAATAAACAGATTGTGTAATGTAGAAATGGTGAAAGGAATAGAAATGATGCATTGAAGTGGTAGAGATTAATGTTCAGCAGTAGACAAAAACATTCTCCTGGTGTAAATCATCATTCCACTCACAAATTTTGATCCACTGCTGAATGTTTTGATCCACTGCTTAATAGCACTCTGTACCATTTCAAGATGTCATTTCCACAAATGCATTCCATTATAAAATCTGCTTATTTCAGTCTCTCTACCTGCCTTTACAATTTTACGAGATATTTTTTAGTCACCTTACACATAATGCTTTAATTTTGCGTTTCTAAATTTTTTAAGGCCCATCCCAGTAGATTTTTCTGGCAATACTACTATAATGATAAAATATAATATAAATTTCATTACAAATACAGCATAGTAACTTGAAGTAATTTAGAAGTCATCTTTATCTTGTAATGTCTAGAAATGTGTCTTTCTATCTTGCAAATAAAAAATATCTACTGACACTCATATACTAACCTTCACTTCATAATAATGAACACCATATGTTGGTAGAGATTCTGCTATTCTCATATAACTGAAATACATAAAAATTAACTTAATAAGTTTCAAAATTTACAATTACCTACAAAATATACATTCAGATGCACAACATTTATGAACAAACAAAAGCTTTACTCACTTTACAATAGCTGAGCCCCTTGATTGTCCTTTAAATAATCTATATTGTTCTATGACTCGATCTTCACTGCAAACAAATTATCATACAAAAATCACGAAATAGTTCATTAAATCTGCCGTAATTATTTTAATATTTACCCGACAGTGTATGTGAAATGATATAATTCATTAAGTAATTTATTCATTAGTTTTTAAATCGAAACAAGTAGAAAATTATTGTAAAACCATAATTAGTGAATAATAATGAATACAGAAAATGACCATCAAATAATTAACACATTTAGAGTCATAGTATATTTTGCCACAATTCAATCCAGTTATTTAACTTCTGAGTGAGGAAGCAAGTTAGTTAAGTAAAAAATAATAAAGTAATTAAGTAAATTAATTAATGAAATAATACACCAACCTTAATTTTTCAGAGCTACAAATCATTTATTCAAATTAATTATACAGTTAATAAGAGCTCAGTAAGCATTTAACGAAAGTATTTCCTTTATACAGTCCGTAATCCGGACATCCATTATCCGGCATGATCTATAATCCGGACCTAAAAGTCCACAAACTTTTTTTTGTATGCTTTATGCATGCGCGTAAAGAATGCGCGTGCATACATTACCTGCATTACGCATGCATGTAATGTATGCTCTACGCAAGCACGCATTAAAAGAAATGTTTAATAAAGTAAACAAATAAATATTAAGCTTTTTTTTTTGTAAAATTTGATACCCTTTAAATCATAATCGCTCTTTATTTCATAAATTACAGTTTCATGTTTTTAATAGTATTATTTCTACATGCCATCTTACCAGATTTAAATTAATGATCTATAATCCAGAAAAACCCTAATCTGAATCGCCGAAGTCCTGACAAGTCCAGATTACGGACTTTGTACTGCAATGCATTTATTTTCCCTCCAATACATACACACTTGTGCTAAAAAAATAAGCGACAAATACTAAAAGAAAAGGTACAAATGTAAAAAGGGGAATTAAAACATGAAATTTACAGATGAGGTGAAGGTTGCATTGCCAAATGTAAATAGGCAACGAAAATTAGCAAAAACACAATCCTGCAGTCACATCACAATGCCTTAAAATGGGGCATGTCAGACCCATGTGTCAGTTTCTAACCAGCAATAGTTCCCTGTAATCCAAGACAACCAAGGCAGAAAGCATGAGCTCAAGACACCATTTGTACGATGAAATGTGTTGGAGAGCTGTCAGGATTTTGCAAGCTGGTGCGAGAATATTCTGCTGTTGCAAGAGAGTTAAATATGCATCGTAGTGTCATCAACAGACTGTGGAATCATCACCAAAGGGATGAAAACCCTGCAGGCTTATGTGCCCCACTCTAAATTTTCCATTCAAGCTATTTGGTATTATCATTGTAAAATGAAGAATTTTTTAAAAAATTCATTATGCAGTCAATTATGGGCATCTTAATACTACTGCTGATGCCCTCATTTAATCGTGGGGCATAGCGTGATGGGCAATTTTTTTCCTCCGTAACTTGTTTCATTTGCATTCCTCGTATTTCAATCAGTCATTTATTCGCATGTCGTTGATACACTACTTACTGCTTCACTGAAGCTGGGATTGATTTATAGTTCAGTGTGTTAGACGAAGGAAATATGGTACGTACATATTATTTCAGTGTTATAAATTTGGATATTTTGTGTTTAAAAAAGGTTGCAATTTTTCCTGCCTTTTCTTCTTCAGACCTTTTCCAAATTTTACAATAATTACTCCTTATGAGCAAATATGGCATCACAACAGCAACAGTTTTTCTAGTGATGATTCTGACGACGAGGAAGGCCACTTCAATTCAATAAGAAGGAGCTATAAAATTTGTTACAAAAGAAATGTTAAAAATTTGGGTTTCCAATCGGCAAGAAACTGTATTATTTCTGCATGCCATCTTGACAAGTTGCGACATTCTGCGATAGTTGTGTGGATAAACCACACTTATGTTTGCCATGTTTTAATAAAGTTCATCATAACATCCCTTTGTAATTGCATACAAACTTGAATTTAACTAAAATGTTATATTTAAAACTGATATACGTACAATAAAAAAAAATTATATGTGAGGATGCAACTTGCTTGGCATAACGTTCAGCCAGGTATTTGTTAAACTAATACCTAGAAAAATATTTATTGGTTTTTTGTGTTATGCATGTTAAACTATAGAATCTTTCCTTGATAATTATAATTTTTGCACTTTTTAAATTATTGTAAGGCATATGCCAGAAACAAAATAATACAAATGTAAAGCGTGGGGCACGTTGCCTGAACGGGAAGTCTTCAAAAAACGGTCTGGCAGGGAAGGTGTTAATCACTTCCTATTACTATATACAGGAAGCTACAGATCATTAACAGCACGACAGCTGGCATTGTCACTCTTTGTTGCTGCAGGATGGCTCACAGCTTGCCAAACTCTGTCATGTTGACTGTATGAAGGTGGGTTGTATGCTCGATGACTTGCGGCTTGAGTTCCTTTGTCCTCATTTCATGACAGAGCATGGTTGAATTAGGCTTGTGAATATCACAGCTGGACACCAGAGCAATGGGACTATGTTCTATTTAAGGATGAGTCTCGATTTAACATCCAGAACGATTCCCACAGGATATGATGTGGCAAAAGCCAAGGACATGCTATCTCGGGCAGTCGAAAGAGACCATTACAGAGGAGAAGGCTTACTTGTATGGATTGGGATAGCAATACTTGTATGGGCTGGGATAGCAATGAATGGCCACACCGACCTCTACCTGATTCTTTGTGGTTCTGTCACAGCCACCTAATATCATGTCAAAACTCTACACCTTCTTGTGCATCCTTTTATCACTGCACTGGGTACTGACATGAAATTTATGGACAAAAACATCTGTCTGCATAGAGTTTGTGTGGTACAGAGTTATCTGAAGAGTGAAACCATTCCACATCTGCCATGGCCTTCTAGATCACTGAACCTGAATCCCATACACCATGTTTGAGACATGTTGGGAGAAGGGACAGCAGGTCACAGTATGCTGCCAGGCACATTCCACGAGCTCCAACATGCAATACTACATGAATGGGCACTACCGCACAACAACATAGTTTCCAATTTGCCTTGCTGTTCTCAAGCATGCATTTCAGCTAGAGGGTATCATATCCATTATTAGTGTGATATTTCCATTACACATTTTTCCGAACCGTTTGGTCTTTTGTGATGTGATGGTAATAATGCACGTGTTTTTGTATGTCTTTGCTTTATTGTTTGCTGTTGTTGACTATGTAATGCCACACCCACCTCTTGGATCTTTTTCATTGCATATTCATTAAATAGTTTTTTTTTCTATTCCATGTTTTGCCTTTGTTGTTTACTTTTTTAGTAGGAGTAGCTATATAAAATAACTTGCTCAAATATCTATTTGGCTGACCTTAAAATGATTGCATACAAATCTTTTAAACTAATAACAATTTTTAACAAATATTTGGCATGTGCCACATATGTAAGCATTACAATTGTGGATTCTCTAAGATGCTGTAACAACATAACATGTGACATTACAGAAGTTCCTGTTCTCTTGAGAATAAACCTCAGAATCTGCCATGGGTCGGTGAAGAGTGATACTGAAAACACAAATGTAGAAGATGCTGACAATTACATTAGTTCCGAAACAGCGATAAATTCTGTGGAAACGTTACTGGACTTGGTCAACCACAAGGGATCCAAATACAATTGATATAATAGCACTTTGAAAAATTGTGCAGTGAAATTCGACAAATATTTAAACATTCCCCAACGTGACTGATTTTCTTTAAAGAAATTAACACATTCAATATGCGTGGAAGCTGACAGTTTGGATTATGTATCACATGTTTAATCGAGAGCACAGTGTATTGAGCATGAAAACAGATTGTTAGTTGTTGTAAATAAAGGAATTTCGCAGAGAAAGAAACCTCAACACACTGATATCAAAAGCGAAATGAAAAACTTTTCTTGAGAAAATAAGAAATATTTTAACTAAGTTTTAAATTTCGCTTTATCAAAACATACATACATAAAAAAGGAAAGAAAAATCAAATATATACTTATTTTCTAATTGAAATATAAAGTTGGATACCTTTAAAATACGGCATTTATTTCCCCATGGCAGTATATGCATTACTGATCTGGTAAGAGAAAAGAAAGCGTTGCTTTTGTCTGAGAAATACAGAGTGAGCTGCATCTGAGCATTGGGAAAGCTGATGTCTTCCCTATTCTGTAATAATGCTGTTATGTTACTTTTTAACTAACAAGAAAGCCTATGTTAAGTTTTTAAAAAAATCTAAAAAAAGACAACTAGTCTTAGTTTTTACATCTCAGAAGCATGGCGACATTACAACTTAAATTTATTGGTGGCAGTGGTCGAATATGAAATCCATGGAAGCAGATTTAGTTTGGCAATCAAACAAGAACTCTTGTGCTTTACTTTGAAGAGACTACGGACATCAGTCCAGCTAAAGAAAAGATCCATCAGGCTCCGAAACAATGCACATCTTAAGTTTTGCGGGACAGATCTTCAGTATCATTAAGTTTTGTGTGACCGCCAGTATCCATAAATGTTTTAGTGAAGACAAGAGGATCGTCAGGCTCCGAAATTCAGCTCATCTCAAGTTTTTCTGGGACAGTCAATGTCTGAAGATCTACAGCATCGTGTTTAAGTGTGAGAACAGCAGTATCCAAAAGTATTTGTGTTGTAAGAAGTGCTTTAAAGTGTCAGAACCATTAGTGTCGGTAAAAATTTTAAATTGGGAAATACAACATCTACAGGTTACAGGTCAATAGGGCACTAAGTCTACAAACCTAGGTGAGCAAGTATCTCAGATTTTTTATATTGAGGTAGTGAAGTAATTTAATTTAAATTATTTCTGTAATTTAATTTACATAAGTTAACATAACTTTTTTTTTTTTTTTAGTCAACACTGTATTCTGTACAGCTTAAAGAAATGTGTTGCTTTAGTTTGTATTTCAAATAAGAAAGCATAAATGTTAGAAATTTGAATTTATGTTAGCAGATCTTTTAATATCTGAAATTTTGA